CAACATTGTTTTGCAAAGAACCTCATTTCCATCCCGCTGTCACAGAATTGTCCAATGCTCAGTAAGTTGTGTTTGAGCCCTTTGACAAATGAAACATCTTTTATTGTGACACTGGCACAGACGACGTCCCCATACCCAAGAATAGGAGATGAGGCGTCATTCCCGAATCTGACATTTCCTCCGTAGCAGTTAGTGTAGTTGCTCAAAAGGTGCTTTATTCCGGTCATGTGGGTTGAGCATCCTGAGTCTAAGTGCCACACATGACCGTCCTGCAAAACAATCAAACAGGTTTAGGTACCCAACTTGGAGTGGGTCCTTCCTTATTATCAAGAAACACATTTTTAAATCTTGCTTTGAGCAGTGATCCAAGGTCAGCTGCTCTTTCAACAAAAGATCTATCTTTGGTGAGCTTTCCAATAGCCAGATCTGCTTTTGCAGTGTGTCTGGTTTTTGGAGTCCACCTAGCAGTTTCCATTCTGGTGGGTCTAAATTTGGGGACCCACCTTTCAGTTTCAGTTTGGATGGGTCTTCGTTTGGGGACCCACCTTTCAGTTTCAGTTTGGATGGGTCTTCGTTTGGGGACCCACCTTTGTGTTTCAGTTTTGGTAGGTCTCATCTTGGGGACCCACCTTTCAGTTTCAGCTTTGACAGGTCTTATCTTGGGGACCCATCTTTCCGTTTTAGATTTAGGAGGAGAGTAGACAGATGCTTTGTGATTGAACGGTTGTTTCTTAAGTTTGGTTTTGAAAATCTCCTCCTTAGAAAGCCGATTAAGATGTTTCCTAGAATGAACTCTAAGGACATATTTCATATCAGGAATACAAAACGTTCCCTTAGTAGTTCCTTTCTTGGTTTCTTTTTCAGGTTTGAGCTTTCTGGGAGGCTTTGATTTAACAACATTCACATCACATTCATAATTATGAGGATCTGGAACAGAATAACCATAAACAACACTTGTATTATAAATAGAACGTTGTCTAGAAGATGTCTCAGAAATATTCAGCTTGGGACTCAAGACTGAACTACTAGAAGTTTGCTTTGTAGAGACAGAATTACAATTAACTTTGGAGTAAAAAATTGAACTAGATCTAGGGCTGGTATTGTTCTCAAAAACTTTCTTTTTGCCATCTGCGATTTCCTTCCTCTTTTTCCTCCACTCATTCTTCTCTTCTCCTTCCTTATTCACTTCATTCCCTGTAAACAAAGGAGAAGAGAGATGAGTGGACGAACCTTTAAAAGCATTGTTTTTCTCATGTGAGGTGTGTGAGCCGTCAGGCTTGGTCGTAGAAGGGTCTTTTTAGCATGAAACTGCTCACTCAGATCATTAAATTTTTGAAGAAGTTCCTGCCAGTTGCGCTCAAAACCTTTCTTTTCAGTTTCAAATCTCTCTCTCTCGTCATTAAGAGTTTTCTGTAGGTTTTTGAGCTTTTGTGTCATGGAAAAAATACACGGTTCCTCACCAGTTTTAGCAATACCTACTCTTGGGGGAGGGTCTAGAGGGTGTCCTATGTGAGGAATATCTTTAGCATAAGGGTCAAGGCATTCACTAAAGCAGGAAGTAGGTTTTTCTTCTGAAAGTTGTTTTTCATTTACAGAGGGATAATCACAAGAAATTGCAGGTTTTGGTTTCTTTCTCTTTTCTTCTTCTGCTTCAGCATAGTCTTCATCACTTCGAAAATACATTTTCTCGCCAAACCCTAGTCCCATGTAATCTTTGTTATAGATTTGAAGACAGTTAACTTTCTTAAGATTACATGGGTTGGTTATGCCCAGTCCTGTTTTAGCATTGTAGAATCGGTCATCCTTTTGTTTGCTATTAAGCAGAAAAACAGTTTGTTCAGATTGACCTCTTCTAGCAGTTAGATCTTCTAGTTCTTTTACTTTATTTAAAAGCGTTCTTCTTTTGTTATGCAAAAAATCGCATTCAGCCTTTGTTGTGCTTTTTTCTCGTTCACTGTCCTCAAATTTCTTAGTTAATTCAGCTATCTTCAGTTCAAAGCTTTCAAAATCTGAGGACACCTTTTTGACTTGATCTTTTGCAATTTCAAGTTGAATACTTAAGGAAGACTTTTGGTCTAGATTTTGTTTCAGAACTCTATGATTATTGTCTAGTCTCTCCTTTAGTTCTTTGATTAGATTGTCCTTTTCAATTAAGGACTGCATTTGATTATTTAAAGAAGTATGTGAGGTACTTACAGAGCTTGTTGAGCACTTGCCTTCGGGGATCGTAGCATCACCCTTTATTTCATCTCCCTCCACACTTGCCATAAGGGCATAGTTGTCTTCCTCTTCCTCCTCCTCAGAAGAATCTTCTGCCCAGTTCTCATTCTCAGCAATCATGGCAGAGGTTTCTTCTTCTTTCTGCACCATCAGCATTTTCTGCTTATTCCACAGCATCTTCTGCTTGTAGAAGTTAGCATCTTTCTTCTTTGGGAGGCAGCAGTCTTTGATCACATGTTCAGGCTTGCCGCAATTATAGCATTTAGGAGCTTCTTCTGCTGATGATGCCTTCCTGGAAGATCCTTGATCATGGTTCTTGTGCTTGTAGTTTGAGGAGGAAGTTCTCAGCCTGTTGGAGGAGCTGTTCTTCTTAGCAAATCTTTTGGCAAGCAGTGCCATCTTTTTCTGTAAGTCTGCTAGCTCAGCCTCTAGATCAGATTTGTCATCGTCACTCTCATCATCATCTGATTCAACCACCACCTTCTTCTTTTTCTTCTTTAGTGAAGTAGTTGTCCTTCTCGGCTGAGCCTCTATTACAAGAGCTAAGGGGTTTGTGGTGTGATGATCCTCAGCACAGGCAACCTCGTTGACGAATTGCTTCAGATGTTCATAGAGTGTGCAGAGGTCAATTTCATCCAAATCTATCCGAGATCTGACATCCTTCACTGTCTTTTCCCATGCAGGATGCAGACTGGATAAAAATCTAATATTCAGTTCCAGATTGGACCTGAATACTTTGATCTTTCTGAGTTCATTTACCAGTTGAACAAGTCTGTTGTAAGTCTCGTTCAATGGTTCTCCTGGACCTGCTTTGAAGGAGTCATAAGCGATGAGAATCGTAGTCTTCTTGGTTTTGAGGCTGATGCTTGTGCCTTGTAGCAGTTTTTCTATTTCATCCCACATTTCCTTAGCTGTTTGCATGCTGTCAATGAGAACATGGACTTCATTTGGTATTGCTTGAAGAAGGTATGTTTTGGCCATAAGGTCACCACGAAGTCTGAGCTTGTCAGCTTCTGTGTATTCAGATGGCACTTTCCTCCTTATTTCTGGAAAAATAGGAGGATTATTTTCTGGATCTCCACCAACTGAAATCAAGAGTTCAGCTGGTCCTTCAAGCAAAGATTCAAGCATCGCAGCAGAGTTCTCTTTGTGCTCTAGGAAATTTAGAAATCTGTTCCTCCACATTTGATATTCACCCTTCCTGAGGCTAGGAGGGGTACTGCTGTTCCCTTGTGCATTGTATTCTGAAGCCATTGCTGTACTAAATTGACCGTTCGAGAAAATTGATCAAAAGATTTTCAGAGGCAGAAAGTCGAAAAATCAGATGTCGAGATCTGAATATCGAAATCTCAGATTTCGATAAAGGAGGCCCGGTATCGAGATTTGGGCTCGAGATTAAGGATCTCGAGATTTAGGGATTTCGAGATTTCAAATTTCGAGAAGCTGATCTCGAGATTTGAAATGTCGAGAAGTTAATCACTCGAAATCTTAATCTGAGAAACAAATGTCGAGACCAGATGTCGAATCCTTTTCTCGAAATCAAGATCTCGAAATCCTAGATGTCGAAATCCTCAATGTCGAAATCTTGCAACCTGTAAAAATCAGATAAACAAAATCTGAAGGTAGTTTCCTGTAGAGTAGAATGTCGAGATCTTCGTGTAAAGTTTTCAGCTCGAAAAACATAGCAGAACCTGTGAAAAAGCAGGATGTCGACAACCCCTGCTCGAGATATCTCGAAATCTGAAGTTGCGTAAAACACAATCTGAAGTATACCCTTTGATCGCTTTGAAAAGGCGATTCCAAAGGTGTAACTTTTACAATTTTTGAACAAGAAACAAAATTACAGAGCAAAAATCGACAGAAAGAACTACGTTAACAAAAACAGAGTATTCTGCAGGAGTTCTTCTGATCGGTTCTCGATCGGCTCTGATACCAATTGTTAGTCCCTGTTTCTGGAACAGCAATGAATAATCGATCTAACAAGGAAGATTAAACGTAAAGATGAACACAGAATGAATCACCGTAAAACCTTCTTTGATAAACCGTGGACACGTACAACAGAATGATATGCGTAAGGCTATGAATAATAAGTACGACGTTCAACCTATTCCTAAACCTCGGCTCCCTTTTTATAGGCGAGGTTTAGGTTAGGCGTACCGGGCTTTTAGCCTGTTTATATGGGCCTAACACTTGGCCTGATTTCTATCTAGTTCATGCACTAATTAAATACAAGGATTAAATATAAAGCTAATCTATGACCAACTTGATTCACAATTAAATATCTCCAACAGTTATTATTGTTATATTCGTTGTTTTCTCATAATCAGGGAAGATCTGTTTGGGAAAATTTTAAACTTCCGTTGATGTACTTTCGAGATACGTTACATCAATTTCCTAAAATATATAGAGCACAGTGAAATTTGCGAATCCAGAGCCGAGAATCATAGAGAGAGAGAGAGGAGGGGCTATGGGGAAACCCTAGCCACCTCTTCTTATTTTCTGCTCTTCCTTCAATTGTTTTGGCTTCAATCATGGAAAAGAATTGGTTTAATCCCTATTTTCAGTTCTATCTATACGTTTATTTCCTAGCGTTGTCTAGAGTTGTCATTTTCGGTGGCGAATTATCGTCGACCAGATGTATATTTCCCGCCATCATTGGTCGGGTGTTCTTGTGTGCTAGTAATACATTTCTAGTGGCTTCTTCATCAATCAAGAATTTGGATTTCTTCTACATAAATATTAAAGCTGATCGTCCCCCTCCTGAACCTCTACCGATACAGGAAGATGGAATTGCATGGATTGCTTTCTTTCCGATGGTTGGTGAAACCGGAACAAATTTTGCACTTGACTAGTTACCGGTGGCTGGCAAAACTGTGAAGTTTCATAGTTCCCTTTCGGTGGATGGTCAATCCGGATCCATTTTGAGTAGCATGAGCAGTCATACTGCGAGACTAGTCTACATCGTTGCAGGGTTAGCGAACAAAAGTGCCTTCATTGGTCTTTTTGTTCATGTCTCACCCTAGTGTAGCGTTGAACGCTTTGATTGTAATGCTTTGACTTTTGATTGTTACGTTTCTTGATACTCTTATCAATAATAATTAATTTATTTGGTTTCAAAAAAAAATCAAAAAATGAGCACATAGCAAATTTCTTAAACACACACACACAATAATAAGTGTCCATTAATAACTACTCCCTCGGTCCCGCTAGAAGGTTCCCGCGAACGGTTTACGATGCTTGACTGACGATAAAACAACTTAATCCCTGTTCACACTCTGATTATTTTTAGTAAATAAAATTAACATATTCAGAAACTACATTAAAACTGCTGCAAAGCCTGATAAAAAAATGAAAATTTGATAAAAATTTGATTTCTAAAGTAAAAGATTAAAAATGATTTAAGTTGATCATGAGAATAGTGGATGAGAACCTTCTACTGGGATGGAAGGAGTATTACCTTTCGAAATGGAGCCCTTGTACTTACTGTTTGTGGTTTGACAGCAGCTATAAACACTCCATGGTGCTTCTATTCCTGAAACGAGATTGGGAGAATGACAAACAAAATTTTGTAGGAAAATAAAAGACATCCTTAGTTGATAAATGGAGACTCGTAGGACCGTAGAATTCCAACTTGAGAGATTTTATATTGGTAAATTCTATGGTACCCATAAGGTACCATACATTTGTCCACATGGACCAATGAGAATGTAGCAGTTGAATTATTTAAATCTAAATTAAAAATGATAAAGTGGTGTGGTCCCATTAAATTAATGGTAGGTACGGTACCCCATTTTTTAGAAAGGTACCGGACTTGTCACCTATTATATTTCTAGACATCATAATCGATATTGTGATATCTCTGGATAGTAAACACGTTGTTAGGTTCGGATTCCGTCTCCGACTCAGCAGGTCTCTAACCACTCTAGCTCACATACACCACCACACTAGGGATGACCTCTCCACTCACCAAGTTTTTTCTCCTACCACTAAGGTACATCTCTCAACTCACACACAAATTAAAGGAAAGGAGAAGGAGAAGAGCATTGCTCCCTACTCTCAGACTATTCTCAGGCAGGCTACTCTCAAAGGAAGAAGCAAAGGCTACTAATAATAGGCTGACCGACAAAGGACACTCACGGGTGATGCAAAGACAAAGGAGGAGGACCGCAACAGACATCTCAATTTGGGATCACTCCCATAAGTCAAAATAGCCATATTATTGGTTAGGAGAGATTCAAAAGAAGAGGTATCAAAGTGAGAGTAAACATGGGGTGTAAATACACAATAAAATGGAAGGGAGGCCCAATAACTCCAACACAGGTTAACACATAAGCTGCAATGACATGAAAGAAGGTGATATTGATGCCATAAATTCTCCCGGTAATCAATTTTCTCATTCTTTGTATATACTATCCAGTACTACTCAAAGTTATTATTTATGACTTAAACAACGTGTCTGAAAATAAAAAATGAAAGTGGATACATAACACCAAGGAGCCGTTTACTTACTTGTTTAATAAATGGTGGTTATTTAATAGTGTCTTACTAAGCATTGCTTAGTAAAGAAGTGTTTATTAAGCTTGGGTTTTAATAATCAAAAAATTGTTTACTTCATCAGCCTTAAAACATATCTTATATTTAAAATGACATAAATAACCTTAAAACCTACTCCTTTATTTCATTTCTATTGCCTTATACGTAACATACAAAACAATCGCTCCCATCTCCATCTGAAGCCACTCACATATCCATCGAAGAAGTTGTTCCCATCTCCATCGCGGAAGCCACTCCCATCTCCATCGAATCAAAGAAGCCGCTCCCATCTCCATCGAAGAAGCAAGTTGCACGTGTTGACCATCTCTAGCCCTCCAGGTATTACTTTCTTCTTCCATTTTTCAGTCTGATTGAACAAGGACCCTCTATCCCCCTGGTCAAAATTACACACACACACACACACACACACACACACACACACACACACACATATATATATATATATATATATATATATATATATATATAATTAGTTAAAAAAACGTTTTTTCTGTTGAAAACTAGCTATTTTGTCTTTGAATTCATTACAATCTGATTTCTGCTTTCTTACACACACACACACACACACACACACACACATATATATATATAGTGGTGAGATCACATACAAACCATGCTTAACTTACTAACCTACAAACTCAATAATATGCAACACTTTGAACTTGAATATGAAGTACAAATAATGTAAAGATGCACTCTTTGAATTTCAATATGCAATACAAATAATGTAAATATGAAACTGTTATTTTATGACTTGAATAATATGAAACACTTTGAACTTCAATGTGCAATACAAATAATATAAAGATGAATAGAATGAGAGGACTAGTTTGTATATGATCTCACCCCTGCATCTTTACATTATTTTTACTGCATATTGAAGTTCAAAGTGATGCATATTATTGAGTTTGTAGGTTAGTATTTTAAGCATGGTTTGTATTTGATCTCTTATATATATATATATATATATATATATATATATATATAGTTAAAACACGTTTTATAGTGACTCATATGGTCAATGCCTTTTGTCTTTTCAATTCATCACAATCTGATTTTCTGTTTTTTATAGAATGGAAGAAACTCAAACATCAAACAACCATGTATTAGGGCAAAGTTCTTTAAATTCAAAACGTTTGTTAAGGAGAAAGTCATTAAAGTGGTGGTTGAATGCTCAAACATGGTTTATGACGATCAAATTTTGGATGTTTGTTTCATTATCCGCAAGGCGAAGGCGAACACGGGGTATTCGATATATAATAGACAATCATTCCAAAAGGGAGGGATATTTTAAAAGATTAGTAAACGGACCTGAATCAAACTGCATTTCCCAATTAAGAATGAGTCATGCTGCTTTTTTCAAGTTGTGTGATATGTTGGTTACAAAAGGTGGGTTGAGACCAACCCGACATTTGATAGTAGAAGAACAAGTAGCTATATTTTTACTTGTATTATCCCATCATCACAAAAATAGAACCTTAATACTTGACTTTCAAAGATCCGGGAGAACAATAAGCAAATGTTTTTCTACTGTAATACATGCGGTGTTACAACTTCATTCTACTTTGTATGCTAAACCTCAACCAATTACGATGGAATGTGAAGATGATCGATGGAGAACATTTCAGGTGCATATCTTAATTAATATATGCACTATTCTATTTCTAACTACCCCATGATATTTCTTTGTAATACTAGTTATTGTAATCTTGTAGAATTGTGTGGGTGCACTGGATGGAACCTATATTGATGTTCATGCATCACCAAATGATCATAATCGTTTCCGTTCTCGAAAAGGAAGGATTGCTACAAATGTCCTTTATGTGTGCAATCCACAAATGGAGTTCATATATGTGTTTCCTGGATGGGAGGATCAGCTGCAGATGGTAGAGTTTTGCGAGATGCCCTCACAAGAAGGTTCCGAGTTTCACAAGGTATACACATTTTTTATTCTAAAATTAAATTTATGAAGTAAATTAATATAAAAAATTAAATGTATTTACAGAGTGTTTACTATTTGGTTGATGGAGGTTATGCTAATTGTGAAGGATTTCTTGCCCCTGTATAGAGGGCAAATGTACCATTTGTCAGAATGGCAAAATAATTGTCATCCGCAAAATGCGCATGAGTATTTTAATATGAAGCACTCACAAGCTAGGAATATTATCGAACGTGCATTTGGATTACTTAAGAATCGATGGGCCATCTTACGTAGTGCCTCATGGTATTCTCTACGTATGACCTGTCAGATTATAGTCGCGTGTGCTCTACTACATAATTTCATTCGACGTGAACATGATATTGATCCAATGGAGGATGATGAAATATAAGAAGAGGAAGATGTAGATGAAGAAGAGGAAGATGAACCTTTTGGGGGGGCTAACTTAAGGCCTACCGAAGCCTGGACTACATTTCGAGAAGATTTAGCAACAGACATGTACAACGCTTGGATTTGATGTATTATGTAAGGTGACTTTAGATTTATTCTATCATGTAAGGTGACTTTGGATTTAATGTATTATGTAAGGTGACTTTGGATTTAATGTATTATGTAAGGTGACTTTGCAAATTTAATCATGTTTTGTGTGTTCTGAACACAGTTAACTACACTGTAAAGGCTAGATTTGTAGCCTGTGAATGCACCTAATTAATGGGTCTTTTTAAGGCTCCAAATGCAGCAACTTTTTAAGGTTAAGGCCTTTTTTAGGCTCTAAAATGCAGGAATTTCAGGGGCATATTCAGCCTATAAATCCACAGCAAGTTTTTGCTATAATTGCAAGAAGGTATAGGTCAGTTTTTGAGCTGCTCAGGGCCGCAAGGTCAAGGCCTTTTTAAGGCCCGAAATGCAGCGACTTTTTAAGGTCAAGGCCTTTTTAAGGATCCAAAATGCAGGAAGTTAAAAGGCCATAAAAAGGATCCATATGCAGCAACTTAAAACAGAAACTGAATCCCTGTAGATTTAATATTACATAAAGCAACGAAATAGAAGCAACAAACGGTTTACATAGAATACATACTTCAACTAGACAAAACATCAATCGTCATTTGATTGTATCATGATGAAATTAGACCACAAAAATCATCCAGGAACTACATGCAGTGGCGGATCCAAAAATAAAATTTATTGGGGGCATATCAATGAACATAAGTTAATAAAAGTATATACGCCATATTGCATACATGGTTGTAAGTAGACATCTCAAATATAGGACAACCCGCATAAGCAACAAAATCATTGTTAGTATAAATTTTGTGTAAAAAAACTCTACGATATAATCATGGTTCTAAAATTTGCTAGGCGCTACTCAAGTGGTTGAAGGATGCCTAGGCGGCTGATTAGGTCATTTTTTGGCCGACTAGGCCGATTTTTTGGCCGACTAGGCCGATTAGTCCTCTTCAGTTAGGGCTGACTAGACCGATTAATCGGTTCGACTAGGCCTATTTTTAGAACAATGAATATGATTGATTAATGTGTTTGCCACACTCAATAAAATTAAGATATTAGAACTTTAGCTACATCGCTGACTCATACTCTAATTTATCTAATTTAAGGCCGATTATGTGATAAATACAAATTATGTGCTTAAGCGCGCGCACACACCACACACACACACATATACTCCCTTCGTCAAAATAAATTCTTCTCACTTACCATTCACATTTCCCTTTATGGAAAGGTTTGTATGGTTGACAATAACGTATCAATTCATTTACTTTTTTCTTACTCAATAACAACCATACATTTTGCACTTTATTCAAATATTCTTAATCAGCGTGCCAAATCAAACCCTCTTAATATTACAGAGTATATTTCGAGTATACTTGATTAAATTATTTGTATTTCACAAATGTATAATTAAATTCAGAATGAAAATGAGAACATTATTAATTTATTTATCAATAAATTTTATTGGATGAAAAATACTTCATTTGGTAAACTAAGTACTCCCTCCGTATCTAATTTGTTGTCCCATTTTCCTTTTTGGGTGCATCAAATTAATTGTCTCATTTCCTTATTTGAAAAGAAATACACTCAAATGATAAATATTTCATTTGGTAAACTAAGTACTCCCTCCGTATCTAATTTGTTGTCCCACTTTTCTTTTTGGGTGTATCAAATGATAAATTATTGCCACAGTACCAAACAACACTTACTTTTTATAAAATCTACAGTAATTATTGGGACAACTAATTAGATACGGAGGGATTATATAGCACTATTTAAATTAACCTAGTACATTACGACATCAAATTCTTCAATAGTTATCATTTTCACATAGTCCAATGGAGTATACTTGAGATACATCAAATCACTTTTAATTATCCGTATGATAGAACTTTTCAAAAATATTATTGGGGGCATGAGAAACATATTATTGGGGGCAAATTATTTTTAATAAAAAATTACTCCCTAAAAATCCTATAATATTAATGCATTAATAGAATCTTATTGGGGGCATGTGCCCCCACTATAGACAACATAGATCCGCCCCTGACTACATGGCCAGTGTAAAACCGGTGAGAAGTAGTGCCAAAAAAGTAAATCACGACTCGTCTTCTAAATACCACTACTTGCACCGGTCCATCTTTTCTGCATCTGGCAATCCATAAAAGTACAACAACTCGCTCTGATTTTTTCCCATTTTCTTCATGAGCTTGTATTTCATATTTGGAGTCATTCCTTCAAGTTCACTTAAAGCAGTTGGTAGACGTGATGTCTTATCAGCTATATCTGTCTCCACCCTTGCCATCTCCATTCCCGCCTTTTCAAGTCGAATAGAAGCTGCCTCCACATAAGCTGAGAATGGGCGTGGCAGATTTTGGAAGCATTTTCTCTGTCACTTCTGCTAAGCTCGAAGTCGGAATAGGCAATTTTAACCTATTTCAAACCCAAATCTAAAAGAAGAAATCGCAGTATGGAATAAGCTTGACCTAAATATCACTTCACAAATACAAGTACAATTTACTTGCGATGGTTGCGACATAATCACCGGTAGGAAGGTCGCCAGAGAAAAATCAGCCAGATACAATGGTGAACGGTCTTCTACGCAATGTTTCTACGCTTTGGTCTTCTACGCAATGTTCTGGGAGTTGTCTGAATTATATGTGGCATGAATGTAAATAAAAATCTGACATTGAGAAAACTAGGGATACTTTGGTCAATACAAAAAGCTTAACTTACAGATTAAATAAAACATGGGGGGGGGGGGGGGGGGGGGCGTCACTTTACTAACCGGCGACTTAAGAGGCCCTGGAGTATTACTAAGCAGAGAGTTAGCCATGAAAATCGTTTACTTCACAAGCCTTATTAAGCTAGCAGCAAAGTTAACGTCAAAGTAAACGGCTCCCAAGTTAGATTTTAAGCCCTGTTTGGTAAATGACGTTTCGGCCCAATTTTGTCAGATTTGATCAAATTCAGTTTTTTCGATCGGTCAAAACGTCATTTTTAATTATTTGGCAAATGGCCTTTTAACATGGCATTTTGGCTAGAAACGCCAAATATGTAAACGCTGGAATATGGAGCGTTTAGGTTTAGCGGTTTTAAATAAACAACTAATTCTCAACCGTACCCTTACATCTTCTTCCATATTCCCACAGCAAACTTCTCCTCTCAAGACCAGCGCAGCAGACCTCCCTCTTCTTCCATATTGAGCGCAGGCTTTCGGCTCTCTGAATGAAGACTATCATCAGGCCTTTGGTTCTGTGTAGAAAACTATCATCAAGTATGTATACTAATTTGCAGACCTTCCCTATTTTATGCCATGATTTTAAATAAAATATATCGCCACACTAGCAAATAACATTGAGCATCTGTGTCCATTTTTTAATTTTGAATGCTCGACCTTTTCAGCCTTATTTTAATAAATATACTACTATAAAGATAAACTAAGCATTCATGATGGGTGCCAGTAATTTTGCAAATAGCATTGAGCATTCATCATATTTTGAATGCTCGATTGTTTAAGTATTGGAAACTAAAAACTAATGATGGATTGATGGGTGCCAGTAATTTTGCTGTGATGAACCATATCTATTACTCCGTACTTCGTATATATGGTGGTCATTGAGAATTGTTGTATAATGCTAGATCACCGGTCGTCGGTCCATTAACTAATATGCAATAATATGGAGAAATTGAGTAGAAGAATAATATTTTATAAACAATCCGTATATTTATAGTGATATAGCAACATAGCATGATACACGTATGAATTGTTGAGAGGGAAAACAAGAGATACTCTATGAAAATAATAGGCGCGGAATTAATTGTGCAGAGTCTTAAGCTGTTCGAACCCCTCCTCCTTTATTTATTGGAGAGAAGTCGAGCATCCTATTACAATTAAAACAGTGGGGCGCGTGTGGGCTTATCAGCTAAAAAGCTTGTTTCTCTCAACAATTAAAAGTCTGCTAATACTAAGACTAATTAATCAAGTGGAAATTACTCGTATCAACCACTTTAGCCTAAATCTTTCGTTTTTGTCCAGAGACAAACTTTTTTTCATTTATAACTTTTTCATAAACAATTAAGAAGAAGATACAGAGGACTACAAAAAAGCAAAAATGCAAAGGAAAAAACGACACATGAAAACTTACAACAAGAAATCGCACAAAAAACAATCCACCGATTGCGATGTAGTCTGAGGATAGCATGATATTATTGCAAAAGGATTTCAAAGAGCTCTCAGGTACGAAGAACAGAAATGAGGAAGGAATTGTTGTAGATGAAATTTGAATTATCACCGAAGTTCGCGCGTAGCTCGTGAACATAGACAAAGTTAGGTTAGTAATAGGCAACCCAAAGATAATTTAGGTAATTCACAATTGTGTTGCCTAAAATAGAACTACTATAGATCTACGAAATTAAATTCAGTAACAAGGTTCCATTTTTGTCACTTTTCTATTATTTGTAAACAAGGTTCTATAGAAGCCAACTATTCAAAAATTCTTGTTTACAAATTATTTGGATAAAATGGATAACGATTCAGTCAGTTTAGTGTTCTTCTATTAAAAATTGATGAGGTTCAAACTTGGAGATGCTATTCAGGTATGAACTATGAATATTGAACTAAAGACTAATAGTACTGTTTGTTCTGGGATGAATGGCTATGGTGGACTGTGGAATACAAGGAGGGACGGTGTATTTATAAGACTGGTAGCTTATTGATAACTTGAGTTTAGATTTGTGAATGTGATAAGAACGCTGATTTCGTAACAGTAAAACAATCAATATTATTGAACAGAATTGCAGAAAAGAAGAAGGTATAGACAGGGCACTTCGAGAGGCCTCAACTCTCCCGGATCATAATTTACCAAATCCAAAATCTGCCTTTATTCTAATCGCAGCTCCTATTTATATTCTTTTTCTTATGGGCCAGCCCAAAGCTAACTAACACCAGACCTAGGACCCTCTAATACACTATCACAATTATTTATTATTATTCTAATATTCTTATTATTAGTCTCCTCAGCTCATGATCCTATCATATCTCCCCCTTGACAACCACTTTGTCCTCAAGGTGGGTGATATGAAACAGCTTTGACGTTCCGCTTGATCTTCATCCT